TAAGTTAGGATTTAGGGTTAGAGTTATTAATAAAAGAGTATAGGTGGATTTTGGTAGGGCTTATATTTTCAAATTGAAACCCCCAAATTTCACGATAATCCGATTTCACGATAATCCGTGACAATTATTATTAGAAATGGAGCTGCCTATTCCGGTTTCTCATTTGAACGGTTACATATCACGTCACAGAAAATAACTTTATAGACATCTCATTTCACAGACAATCAATTCATAGACATGTTTATTTTAAAGATAATTAATTTACAAACAGTTCATTTAATAGGCAATTCATTTTATCGACAATCTTTAATGCTGATTCGGGAGTTATTTGCTATTAATTATATCTATAAAATGAACTGTCGATAAAATGAACTGTCTATGAAATGAACTGTCTGTAAATTAATTGTCTTTAATAGTGTTCTTATCCATTATTATCTATTTATCCATTTATCCATCAGATATCCGTAATCCGTTATCCGAAGTATCCAATGCAAATTTATCGGATATCCATTTACTATTGATATTCAAATAATTATCCGAATCTCTGTCAGATTATCCGGATATTCTAATTTGTTTATCCGGTATGGATTATCCAGATGATTCAGATACGGATAAATTGATATGGAGTTATCCGGATTGAAACTCTATTCTAAAACATATTTGTCTATGAATTGATTGTCTATGAAACAAGATGTCTATAAAGTGATTTTCTATGAAGTGTTACGTAACCCATTTGAACTGGTAACTGAATAATCCAGTTTCTTATTCAAGATCTTCCTTAGATCAAGTATTTAAGTTCTTTAACTAATCCGAATATAAATCTCTAATTTAATATCTAAATTTATTTGGATTTAAGGACAATTTCAATAATCAGATTTAGGATCGAAACACCAATTGGCAGTAACACAATCACATGAATCAAAATTGATCAATCAGATTATAAAGCGGACGGTGTGACAAAAATTACAATTTTAATAGCATAAATAGGTAGATATTTTTAACTTCTTACTTTGAATTATTGACATACTTCTTTTTAATTCTTGAAATTTTTTTGCTTTATAATTCTCGTAAAATGGAGTTCTATGCTTTTATTTGGCTTTTAATTGCCATCTCCATGATAATAAATTTTATTCCTGTTACATCAAGCCCCAATTCTATCACTCTTATCAAAAATGCACCTAAACATTCTTGGAATGAAATTGTTCGATTCAATAGAGATTATCTTACGTTTAGATACGAATATTTAACTCGTGGCTCTGATCAATATACCCTTAATAAACTCGCATCTACAGAAAAACAATCTAAAAGCGTTAAGTTTACAAAATCTGATGCAATTGGATACTATGGATCAGTCGTAATAGGTGGTCAAAAATTTACTGTTATGTTCGACTTATTGAGTTCTGATCTTTTGGTTAGTAATTGTTCTCTAATAATTACAAATATTTACATTATTTTAGCAATGAAACCTATTTTTATACCCGTATTATTCTTTACATTAGGTTCCTTCATTTCCTTGCTGTGAAGACCACAATAAATTTAAGGAAAATTTATCGAAAACATTTAGACATATCGATACTAAATTCACAGCTTTTTACGGAGCTACAGAAGCCGATGGTGTTCTTGGAGAAGATAATCTTTTAGTAGGCGGGATAAAATCTGACCAAATATTCAGTCTTATACTTTCAGAAAATGGATTTTTTTTGTTAGCTGAATATGATGGTATATTTGGTTTGGGTTTTGACAGTGTTAGTAATTTCAATTCTACATCGCCTTTTTCAAAAATGGTTATACAAAAGGCTGTAAAAAATCCTTATTTTGGTCTTCATATAAGTGCAAGTGTACCATTACTATAAGATCCATTACTACAAATGCAATAGATCGATTCATTACTATATAAATTATCCATTTTTGAAGCGTTGATTCTCACTTTCCCGAAGCCCACTTTCCCGAAAAACTATTTACCCGAATCACATAGGGTTAGGGTTAGCATTTTGTTAGTTGTATATATATATTTTTAGCAAATAGTCACCTGCGTGATATCGG